CGGTTTGGGTACATGCTAGCTTCATAGAAAGAATTTGGGAGTTCTCCCTCTGTTTCTATTGTTTTGAATAATTTAAGTAGTATTGGTTGGAGGTCTTCTTTAAAAGTCCGGTAGAATTCTTCTGTAAATCCATCTGGTCCTGGGCTTTTTTTAGTTAGGTGACTTTGTATTATTGTTTCAATATCCTTATATGTTATGGGTCTGTTTAAATTGTTAATCTCTTCTTGGTTTAATTTTGGTGGGTCCCATGATTTTAGATACCCATCTATTTCGTTTAAATTTTCAAATTTAATAGAGTATAGGTTTCTTAAATATTGACTTATAATGATCTAGATCTTTTCGTTGTCTGTTGTGATGTTTCTCCTTTCATCTCTGATTTTATTTTGGATTTGCTCTTTCTTTCTTTTTGTTAACTAGGCTAGTTGTCTATCTTGTGTAGCTTTCCAATGAACCAGCTCTTAGATTCATTGATTTTTTTTATATTGTTTTCTTTGTTTCTAGTTCATTAATTTCTGCTCTGATATTTGTTATTTCTTCTCTTCTGCTTGATTTGGTTTCATTTGTTCTTGCCTTTCCAGCATCTTGAGTTACAGTGTTAGGTCATTTATTTGGGCTCTTTCTAATTTTTTAATATAGGCACTTAAAGCTATAAACTTCCCTCTTAGGACTGCTTTTAAAGTGTCCCAGAGATTGTGTTGTGTTGTATTGTCCTTTTTGTTGAATTACAGGAATTCTTTTTTGTCTTTCTTAATTTCTTCTTTGACCCACTCATTGTTTAGGAGTGTGTTGTTTAATCCCCATGAGTTCATGTAGTGACTAGGGCTTCGTCCAGTGTTGATTTTGAGCGTTTTGCATTGTGGTCCAATAGAATGCATGGATATTTCAATTTTTTTGTATTTATTGAGGTTTGTTTTGTGACCCAGTATGTGGTTAATTTTTGAAAAGTTCCATGGGGTGCTGAGTAAAAACTGTATTCTTTGGTGTTTGGGTGGAATATTTCAAAGATGTCTGTTAAGTCCATTTGATGTATGGTATCATTCAAGTCAGGTGACTCTCTGTTTATTCTTTGTCCAGTTGACAGGTCTAATGGAGACAGTGGGATACTAGAGTCCCCTACTATTACTTAGTTGGGGTTAATCTGTGTCTTAAAGTCCTGCAGTGTTGTTTATATGGATTTGGCTGCATCATAGTTTGGTGCATATAGGTTACAGATTGTAGTAACTTCTTGGTTAATTGTGCCTTTGATCAGAATGAAGTGATCCTCCTTATCTCTTCTGATTATTTTACTTGGAAGTCTATTTTGTCAGATATTAGAATTGCAACCCCTGCTTGTTTCTTAGTGCCATTTGCTTGGAATATTCTTTTCCATCCTTTCACCTTAAGGTAGTGCCTGTCTTGAGATGGATTTCTTGCAGACAGAATAAAGATGGATTTTGTTTCTTAATCCATTCAGTTAGCCTATGTCTTTTGACTGGGGAGTTCAGTCAATAATAACCATTGATATTTAAGGTTATTATTGAAAGATGTTTATTGGTTGCCATCATTTTGACTGCTGTTTGTGTTCTTTGTCTAAATTTTTGTTTCCTCAATTATACCTTTATTTCTTTTCTTTCATTGCCTCTGGGATAAAGTTGTTCCTTTCTCCTCTCTTTCTATTGCTTCAAGTATTCTTTGAAGGACTGGTTTCATGGGCATGCATTCTTTCAGGCTTTTTGTGTCATGGAAGATTTTTCTTTCCCCCTCAACTACAATAGATATCTTTGCTCAGTAAAGTATTCTGGGTTGGCATCTATTGTAATTTAGAACTGGAAATACCTTGGTCCAGGCTCTTCTGGCTTTCATAGTCTGCACTGATAAGTCAACTGTAATTCTGATGGGCTTTCCTTTGTATGTGAATTGTTGTTTTTCTTTTGTTGCTTTCAGTATTCTCTCTTTTTTTCTGTATATTTAGTGTACATTTAGTGGGGAGTTTCTTTTCTGATCCTATTTGGTGTTCTATGTGCTTCCTATATTTGTATGGGGATGTCTTTCCTTAATTTCAGGAAATTCTCTTCTACAACCCTGTTTAAGATCTGTTCAATACCACTAACCTGATTTTCTTCTCCTTCCTCTACGCCTATGACATATAGATTTGGCCTTTTCATGGGGTATCACATCTCTTGCATATTCCATTCCTTTTTTAAAAAAGGTTTCATAATCATTGCTTGAGTGGTCCAGTTCTGCAACTTTATCCTCTAGTGTTGATATTCTGTTTTCCGTTTCATTCATTCTAGCCACGAGGCTTTCTCCTGTTGTTTCAAGTTTGCTTATTGAACTTTGCACTTCCTTCTTATTTCTGCCTGAGTTTTCTTCAATGTTTCTATCTCTTTTGTGAATTCATTCAGAAATTTATCCTTATCTTCTTTTAGCTCTTTGATTTTTTTTTGTTCATGTGTTCTTTAAATTTGTTGAATTCCTTGATCATGTTTATGATTGTTCTTTTAAATTCTATGTCCTGGGTTATTTCTAGGGGGTTCTCCCTGTAGAACTCTTCTACAGGACTGGTGGAGTTTGTTGAGAATATAGTGTTTTAGCTTTCCATTTCATTATTCTTTTCTTGTGATTTTGGCATATGAATTTCTTTTGTTGTTTGTGATTCTGATATGAGAATTAAGTTGAAGTATGTTTCTGTTTGTATTATTGGTGTGCCTTGGCCCTTTTCTTATTGTTTATGTAAAGCTGGTTGGTACAGAGTTCAAGTTTTCTCAGGTTTTATTTTGGAGGGTGCTAATGGCTTCAGATCAGCATCATGTGGAGGCAGAACCTGGGCACTCTCAGGCAGCCCGCTGAGTTCTCAGCCTCTATGCCAGAGGGAGGCCAGGAACAGGCACTCTCTGGTGGTCTGCTGAAATCACAGTCACTACATAGATGGAGGGCGGAGCCCACCTCTCAGGCTGTCTGCTAAGATCTTGGCCTTATCAGGTGTGTGAATACTGAGAGAAAAGGCTGAGGTTCAGTCCAGCAGTCATGCTCCAGCTGTCTTGTAGAATCCTTGCAAACTAGAAACTCAGATATCAGAGTATCTAAGACAGTGAAGACTCCGAGTGTAGAAAGACACCTCCTATTTCTCTAGTTCTTACCATCTTCCCTCTTGATCCTGTCTGCTACCACCAAGAATGTTCTCATACTTCTGTGGACTGCCTTTGAATAAGCCAAATAGGCTCCTGTTTGTAAATAGACAATTCTGTCTTCTGACCAAGGTGTGGCTTTCTCTTCTGTGATCCTCATTGATTCCTTGACCACTTTAAAATGGATATTCATAATTTCATTGCAGCTACCCACAAATCGCTTTTCATTGAATAGTAATATTTTGTAATTACTAATTCAGTCTAATTTCTTACTGTAAAGTTTCTAAAATCTCCTCAACTTATGGACTCATTCAGAATTTATATAAAGAGGTCTATACATAACTGGACTAAACATCATTTTGACAGCAAATGCATATTTGGTGTTTACCAGGTGGTACACAGGGAGCTTTTAATGTAGTCTTCACCACAACCCTGTGAAGTTCAGAGATGGCACATAAGGCACATAACTTGCCTAAGCCATTTGTAAGGCCAGGTGCCAGCCAAGATTTGAACCCAAAAATCTGGTTCTAGAATCTGTTACTGTCTGTGTTACATTGTGTTTTTTAATGTGACTAAGACATTGAATTTCTACACTATGCCAGCTTTTCACTGCTCTCTGTTCCTTGTGTTCCAAAGCCTTTGGCCTTCAGAAAAACCTATACATAAGATGTTGAAATTCCATTTTTATAGATAAAAATACCAATGTGAACTTAATTACACTAATTGATACCTTTACAATTGACAGTGTTATGATTAAAATTTAAGTGTGTGTGAACATAGAGCCAGGGCTGCAGTAACAACCTACATTGGGTTAATAACACTGACATTACTACAGTTTGGAACCTGGAGTCATCAACTCTAAATATCATATTGGCAACATGCCATGCATGTATGGCTATAATTTGGAAATGAACAGCTGGATATTCAGATAGCAGTCAGACAATGTAGATGTTTGGTGAAGATTTCGTTTTAATAATCATTTAGTAAAAGACACCGTGACTTCCGCATACCTTTAAAAAGAAGAGTAATCACAAAAAAAGTAGTCCCCACCAACAACAGGTGAACTCAGTGAGGTTGCCCTCTCTCAGTGTCAACACTTTACACCATAGAATTCTCTACTGTATTTTGGTGACATCGGGAAAGATACTTTTAAAAATAAAAATATACCAAGACATTTATAACTAGTTGTTCATAATATTCTAAAAGATCAGTTAAAATGAAATACCTTTTGAATTTAATAAAACATTGTTGAAATGTCACTATAGGTTAAGTTCCTTTTACAAAAGGCTTGGGACCAGAAGTATTTCAGGTTTGGGGTTTTGTGGGTCTTGGAACACCCACTCAGGCTTTACTAGTTTAATAAGATGAACATCTCTAGCACAGAATCCAAATTCCAAGGTGCTCCAAATTCTAAACCTTTTTGAAAGTCACATTGATACTTAAAACATTCAGATTTGGAGAATTTTGATTTTTAGGGTTTGAATTGGAATGTTCAAACTATAAAATGGTTTGCAGTAAATTGTCATGATCCATCTTTCAAGTGGAGAAATTTGAGACTGAGGAAGCTTAAGATATTTGCTAAATTTTTCTAGGAATGAGAAAGAGAGCAAGCAAATTACCTTCTCATTTTCAATCCATGCTGATTTAATGGTTGAAAACCATATTTATTTTTTAATACACAATTTGAGAAAAGTACACTACTTCTTTTGCTATACACCTTCTTAAAATGAGTTTTTAAAAATCACATTGGCAATCTTGATTTTTTTTAAAAAAAAATCAGAGCTGTTCTCTGGTAGTATTATCTGCAGTTTTATTTTGTAAATTAAAGCTATTAATTTTGTGCTTGAAGAACAAATTAATAATGTCTTTTCTTTCTACTGCCCTATTTCTTAGGTCCTGAGAAGGTGGAAATGAAATGCCCCCTGAATTATGTCATTTGCCGTGGTGCCAGGATGTGTATCCATTTATCACAACTGTGCAACGGAGTGTTGGACTGCTCAGATGGCGATGATGAAGGCATGCATTGTCAGGGTGAGTCTGCTTTGGAAAAACACAACTGAAATATTCAATTTTGTGTGATTTTGAAAATGTAAAGACCACTATGCCTGCCTGTCCAACTGTAGTCATGTCAGTTATTGAGAAACCGTGACTGTTATTGCCAGTCTGTACGAACCTCGAAGATGTAATTATTGCATTTTCTTGAAAAACACATTAGCAAAAATATACATGGACCCAGACTTTGAAGTTGGGCTTTTAAATAATTTTTTTTTCATATAAAATTGTCCTTTTGAGTGAAGGAGAGAAAAGGAGTTTTCATCACAGTAAATGGTCAGCACACAGGCCTGCTTATACAAACCTTTGCTTAAAAAATACTTGAAGAACCACTCCTACAATTTGGTATTTTCACAAATGTATTCATAGGAAATATGTTCTTAAATTTTATTTTTTCCATATTTTGCCATTGACATTTTTACAATTTTTTGTGTTTTAAATATCAGCATTAAATTTCTGCAATAATATGAAAGAAATGAAAATATAAAGAAACTATTAAATTAACTAAATAGAACATTTTGAATAAGTGGAGGTTGATTAGAGGGAGTAAAACATACGACTAAGAAATATAAGAGCTTGAGAAAAAGCACCAGACATAGGTGACAATCCAGAAGTGGAAACAGCATCAGGTCATCAGTCAGGCAAGTCAGGGTGCAAGATGGGGCCAGGAAAGTATCAGTGGAAGAAGATGCTGGTCCTTGATGCTTGCAGTCAAAAAGTAATACAAATACTGGGGCCAAAATGTCAACAGAAATCTGTTCTTCATGTTAGGGTCGATGATACTGAGAACAGGGGAAGTTTTAAAAAACTGAAGAGCTTGGTCTGGAGAGATGGCTCAGTGGTTAAAGAGTACTTACTGCTCTTGCAGAGGACGAGTGCAGTTCCCGGCACATTTGTTGGGCAGCTCAAAACTGCCTGGAACAGTGGCTCCCAAGACACTGATGGCCTCCAGAGGAACCTACACACATGTGGACATACATCCACAATACACACACACAGACACACACACACACATATACACAAATAAGTAAAACAGACTTGTCTGAACTCTGAAGAAGTTCACTTAAGATAATTACTGTGATGTGAGAAAAGGCACTAGACAGTAAATTCACAATTTTCCTGTAAACTCATTATCTACACGGGTTTAAAGTCTTCAAATTCAGACTGCTTTTCAGAGAGAGGTTCGTTAAAAAAAAATGTGCATGCTGAACTGAGACTACCTGTAGACTATCTTGGATGAAGACATCAGCAGGATTTGGGCCTAGAAATTGAGAAAAGTCTTGGAAAAAGAGTAAGTCCTAAAAAGAAAAATCAGAAAGGCAATAATGTTGAAAGAATATAGATATGCACTGAACTCTACTGCATCACTGAGTCCTTCCGTCCCTGTAGAGGGGCTTCAATAGACTGACCCTGTGGACAGATTCCAACTGGGAAGTTGAAGGTACTCAGCATGCCCCCCAACCCCCAATTTGTTTCCATTCTTGATTTTAAGCTCTGAAATAGCCATTATGAGCTAAAAGATTCTTATGGTTGCACCTGTTCATGCAATGCCTGGGGAGGTCAGAAGAGGGCATTGGGCCCTATGGAACTAGAGTTATGGATGGTTGTTAGCCACCATGCAGGTGGAGGTTATAGAACCCAGGTTTTCTGAAAGAGGAGCCAGTGCTCTTAAGTGCTGAGCCATCACTCCAGCCCCATGACTAAGGTTTAAAAACATTTAATTTATTACATCAGCAAACACTACTCCCTCAAAACGATTACATAAATTGGAATACATTAAATTTAAGTGCTGTGGATCTACAAAAAATATATGTGACCTTTTTTTTTTTTTTTTTTTTTTTTTTTACTGTAGCCCCAGCTGTCTTGGAACTCACTATGTAGACCAGGCTGGCCTTGAACTCACTGAGACAGTGAGATCTGCCTGCCTCTGCCACCAGGCCCAGCATATGTGACTATTTTAATGAAATTTATTTTGTTATTTCATAGATTATACTGAATAAAGTGATTCAGCATTTGCTTCTGATTGAGTCATATGTACATTTTGCTTTGTGTCACTATTTTTTCTTTGGTAATTTTCTTTTATTAATTGTTGCAGATTTCATATTTTTATGAATACCAACCTCTCTCCATAATTTTTCACAGTTGATTGTATTACTTTGACCTTTCATGTATTTCTAGATTTCACCAAAGAAAGTATTTTATAAGACCTCAGTAAGAATTCACTTTAACTTGTGGAGGACTTAGAAACAATGAGTAATATATTGAGGTTTTTATTTGCTGTGTACCTTCGTGAATGACTTCCCCAGTTGCCTTGTCCACGTGTGTTTCATAGAATGGTATATAATCAATGCTAAAAGTTAAGTCATTCCAAGGGAAGTGGCTAAATAGTTTTGCATCAAGAAAAGAAGCCCCAAAATGTGTTTACTTGATTGGACTCCAACACGTGGACAGAATAAAGATATCTTTTAGACAACATTAGATTTGCTTAATGTACTTGGGCTTTTTAGGGAGGAGGAAATGGCTGGTTGTTCACAAAATTGCCCTACAGGAGTAAGATCTTCCGACCCTCATTCAGCCTCCTGTCTGCTGTCGCTAGCAAAGGTTTTCAGACACCAACACTAGAACTGTTTCTCATCTTCTATAGACACAAAATAAAGAAAGAAGCTGGTCCATGCACTTCTGTGTAGAACACTCTGCACTTCTGTGTAGAGCAACTCTATTGAACACCTTCTCTTAACATTGTTGTCTTGATTTTTATTCTTTTTGCTTTCAGAGCATGTATTGCAATTTAAATAATTATACATAAAGCCCAAGCCATGACTCAAAAAGGAATTCACTTCTATCTTCTAATAAATGATTCAAAGTACAGTTGATGGTATATTGTAGTCTTTATGAAAATTAGTAAGAAGTAAAGTGCAGTTTTGGAGGTTGTGTTCTGGTCTTGGGAATGCTTTTGTATCGAGTGAATTGTTTTCTGAATGTTTCCTAGAAAAATCAATTCCTTTCTAGTAAAAATAATGAAAAATATCTATTATTAATGATTTTCTGTAACACTGATATTTTAATCTCCATAATTTAGTTCCATTTGATCAAAGAGAAATGGATTTTTTATGGGCATAGATATATAGAAATTTTCTTGCAAGATTTTTTACAATAAGCACTAGCAAAACAACCACATTGTATTTTCAAAAATTTCATCTCCTCAGTGTTTTCAAAGTAGTAGTAATATTACCCTTTCTAAACTGTGAGAACAATAAAAAACATATAATAAAACAGGAGACTGTTCCATCTAGAATAATCCTCACAGGTTTGCAGACTGCTAGAAGTTAGCAGAGACCAGACTCAGAAACATATCAAAATGCAGTTTTAAAATGTGATTCTATTTATGAAAATTGATTATGTCCACATTCAGGCGGGTATAAGAATGGGGAAGGCATTTGTATTTCTGATCCTATGCAGGTTACGAAGCTGTACAAAAAGACAATGCATTTGAATGCCCATGGGAATGACATTCCCCAGGCAGTCTCCTTTCAGTCTGTTGAAATACTACCACAACTCAATAGATCCCTGCTGAAAAAGTTTTTAATTTATGTCACAATAAAAATAATTACATAATCCATGTAGGTTCATTTCTCCAAATATTCAATACTTTTTACACCTAAAGAGATAAAATATGTGAAGAATTGAACATATTTGGAATGAAAGTCTTGGACAAATGAAATGATTACCTCCAAACCACACAAGAGTACCCTTAGAAATGCACACACTAATATTTTTTAATTGTTCACTTTGTCTTTTCAGAACCTATTTTCATGTAACTTTGAATCTACCATATATGTAATTGAGAAATTTGTCCAGAGATCTAGCAAAGGAAAACGCTCTTCTTTTAATATTTCATCTAATTCCTAAAGAAACAGAGTAAATTATACATTGCATGTGGTTCTTGACCTGGCTGAACCTTCTTCGTGTGTGCTGTTTCATCCCCATTCATCTTCAGTCTCTTCCCACAAGTTCTAACGTGTTTTCTATAGATATCAAACAGAATACCTAAATTTTGTATAGCTGATCTCCTTTTTATTTTGTTATCCACAATTTATTAAAAATTGCTAATAATAAGTTGTAGAGAAATATATAACTAATAGGCTTCTCAGAGTGGACCAAGATAAAAGGAGGCCTTTTTTATTACAATGATTCACTATAAGAATATTACTAAACTTTTAAGTTTCTAGTTTAAATATATATTTTATTTTTAGTTTTATAAAATAATATATTTATTTTTTTATATTTTATATGTATGAGTGTATTGCCTGCATGTATGCAAGTGCACCTGTATTGGCCAGAAGAGAGCACCAGATTCCCTGAAACTGGAGTTATTGGACAGTTGTTAGCCACCCTGGGGGTGCTAGGAACTGTACCTGGGTCCTCTACAATAGCAGACAGTGCTCTTAATGCCTGAACTTTATCTCCCACCCCAGATCACATCTACATTTAAATTTTTCTTTAAAAAATTAACCTAAGAACTAATTTGGGGCCCAAATATTGAGGAATTTTCTTTCCCCCTTTCAGAATGGAAAAATTTATCTTCATCCACAGTGTTTCATTTAGTTGTTCTAACACTGCCTTCATACATTTATGAAATCATTTTATAGCAACTAGAATTCAAAAAGGGAGGAAGGACAAAAAGGAGGGAGAGAGGGAAGGGAAGAAGAAGGGAGGAAGGGAGGGAAGAGGGAGGGAGGGAGGAAAGAATGAAGAACAGAATGGAAAAAAGGGGTGGGGGTAGGAAGGAAACGGGAAAACTGATGGTGACACATGGATTTCTAATAATTTGTTATTTTTATTTTCACTTTAGAGTGTCAACCAATCTTGCTCAAGTATCATTTTAAATGTTCCACTGCAAAAAAAAAAATATCCAACATCTCATAAGTTAAAATCATGGTAAAGAGGCACTCATAATTCAAAAAAAGTATTGAAGCACT